TTTTAGAATGGGATTTTGTAAATACCAATATTGTAAATAGAATCAATTGTAAATAGAAATCATGAGACGGAGCAGGGTACCAGTGGCTGAAAAAAGATCTACAGAATCAAAGACAAAATATAACTCGTCGCTACGTAAAACGACATCAACGGGCTCAAAAGTAACAAGGAAGAACTTTTCAGATAGCATGGTCAACACGAGGAGTAATACAGAGATCAAAACAAAAGAGGGCATGGAAGGGAAACAAGCAGAACCCGCCATCGAGATTGACCTAGAGACACCAGACCAGAGTGTGGATGAGGTAGAGAAGAAGACGACGGAGTCAACACCGATGCCGAATGCAGAAGAACCAAATCCAAAGTCCATGGAGTTCTCGCCGATAGACACTGTGGAAGACACAACGGGCAACACGCCAGAAACGGTAAAGGACGAGTCTCAAGCAAAAAGGACGTCATTTACTAAAAGGTTGGCAATGATGGTCGGGATGAAACCAAGAGACATAGTGACGGGGGAACCAAAGACCGAGAAAGGCAAAACATTCGGAACAGTTTCCACGAAAACGACAGACACCGACCAAAACGAAGACCAGATTAGACTGGGAGTAGCAGCCAACAACAGGGCAAAATCTGACCATGAAACAATGTCTCTCGATCTGGGCGATCTGATGGCGAAGCTAGATCAGATCGACAAGAGACTAAAGCACAGCGAGGAGGATAGAGATGTGATAAAGAAAGAATTAAGATACAACAAACATGAGTACCTGGACAGCTATTTCAATCGAGCGAAAGCGACAGAGGAAAAGCTTCAGCAGATGTCGGACAAGGTAGATACCACTGATGGAGAGCGAGACAAGAACATCAAAAAAGACATGCAAGAAATGAAGCAACGATATGACGCAGTGAATAGCCAGTTGGGGAACTTGGAAACGAGAATAGACACAATGAAAAGGGACCAGGCTGAGAGTTCATGTGCAATACCGGCAAAACTAGACGCCATCTTGAGGAACTCTACGTCACAGGATAATCCGGCAGCGGAGCGAACGCAAGGCAATAGAGTTGACTTCGTGGAACCACAACGGAACAAGCGGCAGTCAACACCGTTACCATTACCCCGGGATGCCGCGAGTACAGCACCGGGGGGGGGGGGGCAAAGCGATTATGAAAAGTGGAACAGCAAACACAACGAGTGGCCCAGGGGACTCCACGACTCACAACAACGTGGGACCGGATGTCATGACGTGGGCAAGCACCTCGGAAATGATGAACAGGACACTAGAAGCCTTCGCCACGAGGAACACCGACTCGAGTGACAGAGGAAGCAACAAATCCAGAAAAACTTTCAAAAAACCGAAAGAATTCAAAGATGGTTCAGATGGATGCATTGACACTTGGGTAGAAGTCATGAGGTTGCACTTGGAACAAGACAACTTGAACGCTGAGAGGCAAGCATGCACAGCGATACTCAGCAACTTGGAAGGCACGGCATTGAAATGCGTGGTTGCGAAGAAAGAAGAGGAACGCGACACTGCGGATAAAATCACGAGATAATGTTGAATCGATTCGGGTCAGGCATGAAGGGTCATCAAGCGATGATGCGATTTGAAAAGAGAAGGCAAAGGGACGATGAATCGATAGACAGGTTCCTAGATGATCTTGAGAGCTTGAGACGAAGAAGTGACCCGGAAGACTCCACTAATAGAAGAGACTTTAGCATCGCCTCAAAGTTCATTGATGGGGTAAAGAGTGATGACTTGAGAAAAATTTTAGCACAATACTATACTTTGTCGAAAGACAGTGCACCGACTCCAGAAGAGATGAGACAGAAGTCGAGAGAGTACATGCTAATGAAGCCCAAGAATTACTCATATTCAGATAACAGGAATATGCAAGGGGGGAGCCAACCACAAAGGTCGTCATGGTACAAGCCTAGAGATGACATGGACAAACGTAGATCGTGCGCGAACTGCGGGTCAGCTGATCATCACGTGGCAGATTGCACGACATACAAGCAGGGCATGAAGAGTCTGGGGTACGCACCACATGAGGAGGACATGAGCCAGATGGAAGAACACGAGTACTATTGTGGCTTAATCATTAGGATAGGTGCAAGATGCTTCTTCTGCAATCAGGAGGGGCACTTTAGGATGGATTGTCATTTGTTTTGGGAGGCGGTCAAGAACCAGAGTCACCCCAAACATAAATTGGCATTAGCGGCGGTGCAGAATCAGCGAAACAGACAAACCGAGTTTGAAGCAAAAAACTTAGAAGCACCGAGTAAGGAACTGCCAACGGAGACAGTGAAGGCGGTAACGCAGGCTAACAATGCGATAGAGGCCACGGCCAAGAACGCCCTAGAAATAAATTATGAGAAAGCGGCGTCAGAGGCGATCAACAAGGTGAAACAGGACCTAGCAACGAAGAAAATAGAGCAAAGGTTGAATCAAGAAATCGACAGACAGAGATTGAATCAGACGCTAAGTTGCTCGGTGCCAGTGCCAGAAGCTGTAGCAGGGTCGACAAAAAGTGGAAATTGCAATACTCTGAAAATGGTGACAGGAAAGCCATTTGGCATAACGAAAATCGGAGCCAGGATAATGTCGATAATCACTGTAGGTGGACATGAAGTGACCAGAACTTAAGCGAACCCAGCGACCAGACAGTAATGCACATTGACGTATACGCAGACTACTTGAGTGCGATAAGTCCACAGATGACATCTAGAGCCTTGAGGGCGCTACTCACGAGAGGTGGCAGCAAGTCGATCCGTGTGGACAACAGATATACAGAAGCTTATGGTCCACATGAGGTGATGTTGAATATAGATGGGTTAAACATCTACACGAAAACAATGATAACATGTGATGAAGATCTAGTGGGACAGATCTACGTGGGAAGAGAAGAATTAAAGGTGAGATCGATTGGACAATGTGCCATGCTGGAGGAAGATGCAATGCACATTGGGACAGAGGCAGATGTATCAGCACATGTGCTGGACATAAGTGGCAAGATAGAAGACTCACTTGCGTGGGTTACTCGATACTGGTGCGGTCTTGAGTGTAAAACCAATCGAAACTTGGGAGCGAAAGGGCTTCAACAAAGATGACTTGATAGACTCGAGAATACGGTTGTCAGCTGCTAACAAAGGGGCGCTGCGGGTGCTAGGCAGAACACCAATAATAGCCCTAAATCTGGGGGAACGCAATCTGTGGATGAGTTTTCTTGTAGTAGAAAACCTAGATGAGTCTGACCAAATCATTTTAGGCAGGGACTTCATCAGGAACTTCGACGTAACAATTGATTTAAACAATGCGATGTTCAGGATAAGAAACCCGGATAGGAGGTACGCAATTAAACCGGTAAATTTAATAATAGCGAATGAAAATAAAGCACCGGTATTCTTGAGTAGGAGGGTGAGGCTAAAGGCAAACGAAGCGGCAATCGTAAGCTTGCGAATGAAAAATTACAATGAACTAAGTGACAACAAGCAAGTATGCATAGTCCCGAATCCTAATAGTCAAAATGCTGCTGTTTTAGGAAGATCCTTCTCAATAACCAAGAGTGGTCTCTGCGTCAGTGTCTTGTTGAATACGATACAGAGGGGGAGGAAGCTGGGATATGCTTTACCTGTTAAAACTCGATGTGAAATGACTGAAAATTCAAAACAAAATGAAGTTGTTGATTATCCCAGTCATAGGGACAAAATTTGTATCTTGAGACGATTGAAGAAAGTAAAAGGTTCAGCAGGTCTTGTGAAATCACTTAAGTCAGAGACGGACGATGGGCTATCGAGCTGTTCGAACTTTCCGGAACGGCCCACACCAGATGAAATGCAAAGTGATAAACCGGTCCTGCCGGAGATCGAACACTTAAGGGGCAAGTTGACGGACAAACAGCTCGAAGCCATCAAGGACGTACTAGAGCGAAACGAGGAAGTTTTTTCGAGACATAAGGCAGACATCGGGTGTTGTAATTTTGTTGAGCATGAAATAGAACTTGAAGAGAATGCGGTACCACACAGGGAGGGGGCGAGGCGCATGACCCCCCACAAATCAGAGGCATGTAGGAAAGAAATAGAGACATTACTAGAGTATGACATGATAAAACCATCCAAGTCACCGTGGGCGTGTGGAGTAGTGATGGCTAAAAAGAAAGGCGACCAAATGAGGTTTTGCTATGACTTTCGGTATCTGAACTCCGTCACGGTGAAGGATGCCTATCCCATACCTAGGATTGACGAGAGCCTCTCAAAGTTAGGTTCGGCGTTCTGGCAGGTCCCGCTGAGGAAGCAAGACGGACAAAACAGGGTTTGCTTGCGAGTTGGGGCTGTTTCAATGGAAACGGATGCCGTTTGGTCTTTGCAATGCCACAGCCACGTTTCAACGGTTGATGGCACATGCGCTGATAGGTGGGACAAAGAAGTACGGCAATCTGATAATGTGCTATGTGGATGACGTGGTAATAGCGACGCCCACACTAGAAGACCATATCGAGCGACTGGACGAGGTGTTTGCATGTATGAAGATGTTGGGGCTAAAGTGTAAACCAACAAAGTATGAGATACTCAAGGATTCGATAAAATACTTGGGCAGATAGGTGGACAGGCACGGCATCAGACCGGATCCAGATGCAGTGGAAGCAGTTCTAACTTGGAAATCGCCAAAAACGGAACATCAGTTGATGAGCTTCCTGGGTTTTGCGAACTACTACAGGGAATTCATCAAGGGCTATGCGGACAAGGTATACCCGATGCAACAGTTAATGAGACACAAAGGCAAGAAGTTCACATGGAACAACGCAGCAGAAGAATCATTCCAGAGAATAAAGAAAGAGTTGTGCGAGGCACCGGTGTTGGGGATGCCAACGGAAAAAGGGATGTACGTGTTGGATACGGACGCGTCGGTAGTCGCGATTTCTGGAATTCTCCATCAAGAAGAAGAATGGAACGGGAAGACAGTCTTAAGACCAATAGCATACGGGAGCAAAGTCTTGAGTGACACAGAAATGAAGTACGGGGCGCCGAAATTAGAGATTTTTGCGGTAGTTACTTTTGTCGAGAAATACAGAGCATACTTAGGCAGTGAACCGTTTAAGCTGCGGGTAGACAACAGTGCACTCAGCTGGCTGAAGACGTACTCGATGGACCAGAGCTACATTGGGAGATGGATAGATCGCCTGGATGGGTACAACATGATAATTGAGTATAGAACTAGGGACAAACATCAGAATGCCGATAGCTTGAGTAAGAAGACGGAGTTCTACGAGAGGCAGGAACAGAGGGAGGCAGACAGGCCTGAGATTAAAGATGGCTTCTCCTTCATGGACAAAGAAACGTATGACAGTCTCCCACTCACGAGATGGCTAGACAAGTCAGGCAAACCGAAAGAGGATCATCCCGAATTACCAGAAGAGCCCCAAAAGAAAACAATCTTGAAGAAGAAACGAGGGACACCGATAGAGATAATGCTCAAGTCAAAAATCGTGAGAGAGACGCTCAAGGCAAAAGGTTATGACCTCAACCAGGTGGAGACGGGAGATACTCAGGTAGATGAAGACTTGTGGAGATTACTTGAGAAATTGGCAGATGATAAACCCGTGAAAAAGTAGGAAAAAGTAGGGAGGAACCGGAAGTCACGATACTGCGAAGGAGTGAGACAGTTGGCATTGCAGACTCTCCAAGAGCATGCGGTACTGATGGTAAAGAAGTCGTGCGGTCACTGGTTGACAAAATCCCTGATAACATACTTGAGCGGACTCAGGTTAGGAAGAAGAAAGTGGCGTTTAAGGAAGAAACTGAACACCTGGGACTAGGTCAAGAGTCCGGGGAGTGGTCCACGTCCACGGAAGAAGAAGAAACCGGAGAAGAGAAATTGTCCGGGGAGTGTGAAGAATAGGATGAAGATTCGGAAAAGAGCAGCGATGATCAGGATAGTCTATGCATGATACTGGCAGAGGAGAAGATGAGACACCGCGACATGGAGCTACAAACAGATCCCTCCTCAGGAACGTACAACTTGGATAAACAAGAAGTACAAGGAGGTGAAGAACTTGAAGAAATTGCGGTATCGAGAAAACCATTCAGGGAACTATCATGCAACTCAAATGTCAGAACAAATCTGGTGCCAGAAGATGATATGAAGATCGTGAAGAGGATAATATGCGTGAAGTTGAATGATGACATCCACAACCTTGGGGAAATGAATGGACAGATCATGGCACTAAAGGAACATGTCAAAGCGAGATATAGGCTGTCGGACCTGATACGAGCCCAAAACAATGACAAGATGACAAGTAACCTCTCCAAATGGATCCGGACGGGGTCCAAGGAGAAAGGGGAACTTGAGGAAGACAGCTACAAGATCTTGATCCAGTTCTACAAAGAAAAGAAAGATTTACTCTATCACACAGCTGATGGGGTGGTGGCATGCAAGAGGAAAGAGGAGGAGAAGATATTACACAAGCACAACCTCATCATTTTACCACAATTGTATCAGACGGAGGTGTTATTCAGATCACACGATCAGATGGGGCACCAGGGGATAGACAAAGTGCAACAGAGAATACTTCACAGGTTTGATTGGCCAGGATTGCGGAAAGCTTGCGAGAGATGGGTGAATACATGCCTGGCATGCCAGCAAGTAAAATACCCAAGGAAGATGAAGTTCCCACTCAAGTCCGTTGAGAGCTCGGAGTTTAACGAGCTGGTGCAGATAGACCATCAAAAGATCTGCATGACGGAGTCGGGATATAACCAGACACTGGTTATAATAGATCACTTCCCAAAGTTGGCAGAAGCAGTTCCGTGTCAGACAGCCTCAGCAGAGGAGACTTGTGACCACCTCATAACGCATTGGATATCACGATACGGCTGTCCAAGGACTTTTCAGTCAGACAACGGCAAAGCCTTTGTGAGGGACTTGACAAAGGAAATGATGAAGAGGTCACACATTGCTCAAGCACACTCGACAACCTACCATCCTCAGACCAACGGACTGGTAGAGAGACAGAATAGAACTTTGGTGATTATGTTGAGGGTATACTGCTCAAGATACATGACGGACTGGGATAAACATCTGCCGCAAGTCGTAGGGGCCCACAACAGTACGCAACACTCAACAACGGGTATCAGTCCTTTCATGATGTTGACGGGCAGGGAGAGAGCAATGTCCCTGACATTCTTTTACCCGGAATACGAAGGGAAGAGGACGTCGCCTCAAGCTTACGTGAAAAAAGCGATCTGGAGACAGCAGGAGCTAAACGAACTCTGCAGGAGGAACACTGCGCAAGCACAAATGAGACAGCGCAAGAAATATGATGAAAAGATATTACAGGCGAAGCCATATGAAATGGCCCAGTACGTGTGGGTTTTCCAGAATGTCATACCGCCCAAAGGGACAAAGAAACTACTTAAGAAATGGAGAGGACCATTCATGATAACGGAAGTACATCAACAAGGACGGTTCTACCGCTTGAGTACGGGGCGAGCAGCACATTATCAAAATCTGAAGCCTCACGTCCCATCCCCAGAGGACTGGTGTATACCACAAGACATGGAGGGACTTGAGTACCTACTGGTGGAGCCAGCGTGTGAAGTGAACGAAAGAGGCACCAGAGAGAAAAATGATGGCAACGAGAACTTGAGTTTGGACGACAATGAAAAGATAGAAGCGGACTCCGAGGCGGAATCCTTTGAGGAAGAAGACTGGAACGATCCGGAGCAAGGTGAGGTGCCAAAGTGGACAGAACCAGACTTATCAATACCAGCGGGGACAAGGAGTGGCAATCGCAAACAGACAGGTATGAGGTACAACAGGTACGGAGACGATTTCCTGATTGATAAGATACAGCCCGATGACCTAAGCAAAGAGCTACTAAGTGTGGGCGAAGTGGCAGCCGATAATGAATGGCAAATTATCAATGATAATGGACACTACCCACAGGAAGACTACTCGACACCAGAATGGGAGACGGATTTGGAACAGAGCGAGATAGAGAGGAGGGAGAATACGAACTTGAGGATATTAGAATGGATGCGCGATGTCAAGAACGGAAGCGGCGAAGGACAGAGCATACAACAAGTTGACGTATCAGCGGGAAAGCACATGAAAACGGAGGATCCCCTCTTCGGCTGGACAGGCCGCTCGAGATTCCACCAGATAATTTGGACCCAGCACCATCGACGGGGACGTCGATAAATATTTTTGTCCGGGGAGTGGGGGTAGGACTTACCCACACCGAAAATCTGATGATAAAGAAACTCAGGGAAGTGAGAAAAACGAGCGGACTGGAACTGGATGGGGAGGAGGCTGAGCCTACCATAGGACGGAATTTCAAAATTTCAAAACATCCTGATAACGGATAGCGACTTCATTCTGTCAGACAGGACTAGCGCAATCAGTATCACGGCGGACATGAGTTTCAAATCAAGACTGGAGGCTGAATTCAAGATAGAGTACCAGAACGTGGAGTTTCTGTTTAGACAGAGACCGGGACTAGGAGGAATGGCTGCGCTTCCACCATCAGTAGCACAACTCCCAGGCAAATACCTGTGCTTCTTGGTGACGAGGGTCAGTGAAAGGAACACGATCGTTCCTGAAAACGTGATGTTGGCACTAACGAGACTGCGGGACTTCATGATCGAAAGAAGAATAACAGAGGTCTCAATGCCGGTCTACGACCCGAACAGGGGCAAACTGAGCCCAAGGGAACTATATGCTATCCTACACGTGGTCTTCGCGGAAACGGAGATAATGGTACATCTGCACAAGAAATATTACCTGAGTATCGCCTAAGTCAGGTACATGGGGGTCTTGAGCTGGGCATAAAGGGATCTCAAGTTAGGTGTTGGGGTACAGAACAGGTAAAAGGATCTTAAAAGTGATTGGCATGACAATTAAAGTTTAAATGATTGATGGTGCTAAAACATAAAATGAATCTGCATGCTTTTAGAAAAACTTTCAATTGAACTATTTTAGTAGAACGAAAAGGATAAGGTTTTAACTATAATGGCAGGGGGGTTTTAGGTTAGGAACATAGCATAATAGTCTAAAAATCAAGTGTTATTTTCAGATTGATTTGGTAAAGTCAAATTGGCTACCCAACTGTACTCAATTGAAAGAAAAAGAAGTTCTTGAACAAACACGCAGTTGAACAACGCTTGAAGAAGTTAATTCTCAAGTACTCAAGTTGATACGCTAATTCTCGAGTGGTAAGGTAATTCTCAAGTGGTAAGGTAATTCTCAAGTGGTAAGATAATTCTCAAGTTGGTACGTGAGCAAGATAATCCAGAAATAATGGCAGATCGACTTTGGAAGTCCATGCCCGCGGCTCTGAAGAGGCCCACGCTTGATGAGCTATACAGACGCCTGAGGGATCTGGATTACATCCAAGTGGATGAGAGAATGGCGGTGATGCTGAACGCCATCCTCCAATTGGAGGAGCAGGGCGAATGCCGGGAGTCTGCAACCGAAGCGGTTCTAATGGTCGGCTACAGCACTGAGGGAATATCAAACCAAGAGCAAACCAGATGGCTGTCCTGGAATGTGGATGGAGGAGTGAGGGGATTCGACTTGGCGAGGAATCCTGGCTTGAGCAACAACACTGAGTATGGCGCAGGGGAGTTCCCACTACCGATCAGACCATCAGCAAGATCAGCGGGCCAGAGCACGAGTAAGACACCATCGATGACGCGAGCGCAACAAACGGGAGAAGCGTATCCGGACCTCAGTACTCTGAAGAGAGAACTTGAGCGGACACAGAGGGAGAGGAACAAGGCGAACCTCGACCGGGATCAGGCGAAGCTCGAGAGAGATCAGGCGAATCTGGAGAGAGATCAGGCGGTCGTCGAAAAGGACCAAGCGCGGAGGGAACTTGATATGCTGAAGGCCGAGCATCAGCAAGAACAAAGGGTGCGAGAGAATGCCGCGAATTGTGAACAGCTGAAGTCGGAACTTGAGAGAATCCAGCAACGACAACGCGAGCTCGATATGCAAAAGGGAGCCAGGCCCAAGGAGCGAATGGTTACCGGCTCAAGACCAGAGTCACGTATGGAGTTCGACGAAGCTCCCAGATCGAAGGGACGGTTTAACCTTGACCGCGCGGCTCAGGAGCATATGAATGAGGGGTTGGAGGTATGGATACCAACTGAGTCAACGTCCTCCCTGCGTGGCCTAGAGACACAACCGATACGTCCATTGATGGACGTCGCACTGCCTGGATATACCCCGAGTTCAACCCCGAGCAGCAGTCAGGTGATCGGCAGCTCGTCACGTCTGAAAGAATTGAACGAGAGGCTACAACTAAGGAATCGTGAGAGTCCAGCAAGAGTGGAGCTACCCCCGAAGTGGAGGGAGCAACCGATCAGGAGTGTGGTAATCTCAAGCTACAAGAAGAACACGGAGGGCAGGTACCACAGGCACAATCGCATGGATTGGAGCACGGCACAAAGAGTCAGGAGGGATTGCTTCCATGACGCGGCTTGGTTGGAATACCTCACGCAGCCACGTGTACCAGAGGGGGCGGTCCATCCAATCATAGGGGACAGCCTGCTGCCGGTGCTGACCCGGATTCAATCACATTGGCAAAGTTGGATCTTGAGTTTCGCTGGA